AATGCTTTCAAGGTTGCTTCTTCTTTCGTCTTGTCTTTACATTCTGTATTGATAGCCATTAATTTGGCTTTGAAGGCCTGAACATCGGTCATTCGCCTTTGTTGCTTACCACTCATTTAATACTCTTTGATTACTTTTTTACCAATTACTGGCTCTTCCAGGGCCACTATATTTGGCCTCATTTGACTGAACATTTTAGTGAGTGTATCTATCGAAAACGGCTCCTCGCTCTGTGCAACAATTTGAGTTTCTTCTCCATCTTGGACCACTCTGACAGGTCCGTAATTTCCTTCATACATGAATTTTTCTACCGAGTTTGCTTCTGCGACAAAAGGTCTATGATCTCCCTGCACCATGGAGTGATGAAGGTATGCAACGACTTCCGTGTGTCCAATCCCTTCCTAATAACACATTGTAACTAGTAGAACCATCTATTACAAAGAAGACTGTGGTCCTAGTAGTTGTCCCTATAGTTATGTCCAATGGCATAACCCCTTTAGCTGAAGTTGCTCCTCCATTGAAACTTGTAAGGATGACTTTTGTTGGAATCACATCACTTTCTGTCTTTGCAAACTTCCTTATCATTCTAGATGGAATGGTATTTATAGCTGCTCCATTATCGATAAGTACTTTCGCCATAGGTATACCGTTAACTAAAGCCTTAACGTACAATGGTCTCAAGTGTTTAGTTAACTTCATGGCTGGTCTCTTAAAAATAACCTTTTCGACAGCATCTATTTTCACTTCCTGTTGTTCTCTGTTGAATTATTCTTTTGTGATAAGTCAACGTGCAGTATGTCGCACTAAGCTTCTGCTTCCTAAATTTCCTTTTTATTGTTTTCTAATGCTTTTTCTTCGGTTACCCAACCTGTGTGAGGAGGCATTATTCTTGGAGGTGATCCATACTTTTCAGAGCGAGGTACTCTCTTTTTCCTCTTGGGCATCCCGTACAGCACGTAATAATCGAAAGAACACCCAGATGGTTCCCCTAACAAGTCCACTTCACGAACTCCCTCTCGATGTAGTTGCTTCAACAGAGTGTTGTGCAATACTCCTCTCTTTCTTCTTTCTGATTCCAGATCAATTTCCTCTTCGATATCCGTCATACCATCATCCTCTTCACCATTGTAGGCCCCTCTAGAAGTTTGGCCTTCTTCACATTCCGGCATACATGCTTCTTCCTCGTTATCCCCCCTTTCTTCTTCTTCTTTCTCTTTGTTCTTGAACTCATTAGCCATGACAGGATGTAACGTACCGAACTGAATAGTAAGGGACTGATCTGGATCTTCTCCATCCTTTCTACCTTGCTCAAACTTCGATCTCCCAGAAGTACTCCCTGGCAATTCTTCCATCGATTCACCTGTACCAGTCTCCTCACTATCTTCGAGAACATTTTGATTGGCCACCTCGAGTTGTTAGGATGTGGCACTCCCTGTTGTTGCCTCATCATTCGTCCATAATTCCGTTGAAAACTCCTTTGTTAGGTTCTAGTCATCTCGTTGAAGGGTATCACCCTTCCTGCATTATACTGGAACGAATGCCATATATTTGGTTGGTGAGGTTGTGGCCTGAATGTTCTCTCATTATTTATTGACTTAAACTGTCTCTCGAAAGGCGGTCCCCTATAGAATGATGTACCTCACCCTCTACCAGGCTGAGCGTTTGGGAAAAAACTAGGGCGATGGTGATGCTGCCATATCTTTGGTTTCTCTGTATTTGCACTCACTTCTTTTTTACATCTCGCGCATAGGACGTCTTCATCCTTTTCAGGCTCATTCCATTTGATACGTTTAAAGATACTAGGATGTGGCCCAGGGTCCTTTTCTTCGTCATCTATAACCAACTTAAATTTTGGCAACTTGTTTTTGAAACCAGTCATCACCATGTTCACCCCAAGTGGCTGTGGAAAAGGGTTTTCATCCACTGCCATCTTCTTCCTATCCTCAAACGTAATTCGTCCTGATTCAATGGCGTCCTGTAACACATGGCGAACAATCAAACAGTTGTTAGTCAAATGCGACCATGCATTATGCCACTTACAATATTTTTTACCCTTGATTTGTTCAGGGCTTGGCAACTTATGTTTATCGCTCAACTTTATCTGCTTATCCTTATATAGTTTATCAAATATAAGGTCAGCTTTAGTTACATTAAATGAGAACGTTTTAGCCTTCTTGTTTTCATCTTTTATAGGCTCATCGTTGCCCGACGATTTAGGCTTAGCCATTATAGGACAAGTATACGCGTCTCCTTTGATTAATTCGGCCAAACACATTTCGATTTGATCGTAATACTCGTCATTAATGGTATGAACATCAAAATTTGGGTCTTTATAATAAGTCCCCTTGCTAGAATTTATCATTTGCTCTTCTTCTCTTATTAATCGTTCATATCTAATCATGTTTGTGCTCAATTGGAAAAGATCATGAAATTCCCTGTCTTGAAATTTCTTTTTCAAATCAAAGTTTAGACAATTTTGAGCGATTTTGACAAACTCCTTTTCGGGCAAAGGTACAAAACATTTACTTCTTGCTGTCTTGAACCTTTGAAGGAAACCTTCTGCCCATTTGTTTGGCATTTGACGTAGATTCTCCAAATCGGCCAAAGTAACTTCAGACTCAATCTTATAAAACTGAGCATGGATCAATTGCTCCAATTGTTGCCATGTTTGAACAGAGTTTGTTGGCAAATTGATGAATCAAGAGAAAGCTACTCCTATTAATGAACTAGGGAACAACCTCATTTTATGGTAATCGGTTACTTCACCACTTTGCAGTGTGAATCGCCCTATGTGTTCTAGAGTAGACACCTCTCCTAACCCGGTAAATGATGAGAATTCTGGAACTTTATACCCTCTAGGCCATGGATATACTTGGTCTACCCAATCAGGGCATGACTTTGTGTAAGTCGACCTAATGACAGGACGTACCCCAAAAGTCATTTGATCCTGTACTATTTTCATAATTTGATTTCTCAACATGACGTTGAGGTCATATGGAATTCCTACAGGTTGGTTGATCGGTTGATTTGCCTGAGGCCTAATGTTTGGTCCTTGGTTGGTAACAAAGTTGTCATGATTTGGGCCATTGTTACCATTAGCCTGAATATTTATTCCATCATTGACACGTGGGGTATTCTGTCCATTATTTAGGATATTATCTCTTATATTTAGGTTACCCCCCAAGTTAGATGTACCATTACCACTATTCTGATTTGGCATTACACCATTTCCCTGTTTTGAAGTAGGTGGACCAAAATGTGATTCTATCCCCTGATTTGGACTTAGGACTGGGGAATTATATCTCACGATTGTCCTAGTTTGAAAGTGATTTGCAATAGGCACAACTGGCTGACAAATTTGGCCTACTAACTTATTCATTATTTCATTAAATGTATTCAGTTGTTTGGCCATGTTGTCATAATGTGCATTCTCATTCTGGGTAAATCTTTCCATATTATGAACATTTCGTAGATTTACCTGTTCAACAACATCCTGTTTGAGTTCTCCAAGAAATGCACGCATGGTTCGAGGACTCAACTCTGTCATTGGTTCGTAACGACTATGACTGCTCTGACTCTGTCTCTCTGTTCGTGGAGAGCTTTGCTGCTCCTCATATCGCTCGATCACAGACTGGACTCCTCATTGACTTGTTGCTTCCTTATCAGATTTGTGAGGCATATTGTTTCACCTTTTATATCTTCAACACCAAATACCAAAGTCCCACTGGGCATGCCAAATTGTTTGCCGTGGGTAGTCGCTAATAATTAAAAAGGAATCAAACGATTGTGTAAGGAACAGACCTCTTGAGATAAAGTCCCAAAAAAGGGGTGTTTTATTGACGATGATTTACAATTGGAACTAAACAGAATGCCTCCAAGGGGCGCAAGTACACCAGTACTAAAAGAAATGTTTAAGTTTAAACTAAGAAATTGAAATTACATATTCTCTGTTTGAGAGTATTTGATTCGGGGTGTTTTTCTCTATGTCTTCTCTTCCTTTTATATTCTTTTGATGATTTCTTCGTGACAAACCGTTTGGAAACTGCTTGATTGCTGTATAACTACCCACTTTCTTTATGGTGGCTAACTTGTCATGGAACTGCCGTCCCTAACTGTTGCCATTACTCTTCGTCATTTAACCGCCTTCAACTGGGCTCCTTGAATCGTGGAATGTGATAATATCACTCAATAACTGTTTCAATAACTGCTATTCTGGATAACCATAATGTTTTATGCTTGCTGAGATCCTGGGCGATTCGAAGGTTTGGGTGAGAACGGGGTCATCGATCTAGGCGACCGTAAGGTATTCTATTCGTTCAGATTCTGGGCGTTTTGCAAGTTTAGGCGATGATGTTACTGTGTTTGTGGGCTTCCACCGCATTCATCAATAATCCTGTTTGGACCTTTATCCTGGATTCTCCAATTGGGCTTCACTCTTTAGGCTATTTGATTTGGGCTGCACTTTTAGTGTATCAACAATTCTTTTTGCTCATTGTACAGGTTTTAATGTCGGGCCTTGCTTGGTGTACATAATTTTTTGTACATCAAGATGTCCTCCACTCAATGGGGTGGGATCCACTTGAAATTTTATTTGGTGGACCCCACGCTATGTGAGTGGAAGACATATTTATGTACAAAAAATTATGTACATGTAGATTTATCCTTTAATGTCATCTATTTAAGAAAAAATGCATCAAATTTGTAATTAGAAAAAAAAAAAAAATCACTTGTCCACGATAAGAATAAGAACAAAGACATTCATTTTTTAACAATTTAAACTTTTAAGTCACACACTTTCATTGAGGTGGTTTAACAATAGTTTCCCGGAAATGGGTTCGAAAAAGTCATGTACATATATACCAAATAAACTAATATCAGCCACATTTGACTGCTTACACGAAAACTACAAAGTGTTTCTATTTGAAAATCAAACTTAAGTCAATCAGAACGTTGAGTGTTGATGAATTTGGCCAACCAAAATTTGAAGTTCACCTATAGAAGCTACATCATCTCTCTGTCTCTTTAAATATGCATACAGAAGCGAAAACATTCAAACTTGCGGCAGAAAGAATATGGCAGAAAAGAAGTTCATTGTGGAGATTGAAAAAGCAAAAGGCGGTAAAGATGGTAGGCCATCGGTTGGACCAGTTTACAGAAATGTGTTGGTGAAGGATGGATTTAGGCCACTGGCTCAAGGCCTTGAGAGTTGCTGGGATATCTTTCGGTGAGTTTTCTCCAAGACACCCTCGACCCCATCCACTACATAAATGTATATCTAGAAGGATCATTATACCAAGAGTTTTTTCCAACTTATTTAATTTGATTTAAATCTTTATCCATCAAGCATGCAAGTAGAGATGTATAATTATCTATATATTTCATGAGACTCACAGTTATTCCTTCTTATAAACCATTAATAAATTTGTCAAACTTGTAGACGAGCTTTAAACATCTAGAGTTGGGCTCAAAAAGGTCTATTTTTACTTGGTCGAGTTGATGAGTACTCTTTTGTTTATTCTTTGAATATAAGAATGAAACCAAGAATTTTTTTTTTTTTTNTTTTTTTTTTTTTTGGGAAATTCTTCTAGAGTAATGCCATTTATCTCTGTTAGAGATGATCACCCTGTGTCATAAAATGGCCGGCCTGTTCTAGACTCAACCATCGTCAATCGCATGGTTTCTGGGTCGGGTCTGATAGTCGATTATGGCTGCTCATTAGTTCAGGCTGCCAACGAACAGGTTTTCTACATTTGAATCTCTATGCATGCATGAATGCATATGATAGTATATATTGAACTCGGATTACGATAATTGCTTTAAAAATCGAACTTTTTCATTATTTCAAGTTGAAATTACTTACAATTTTGCACTGTTATATGAATTTTTGGCTCCCCTATTGCAGTGGATCTGTAAAGAAATACCCGAATCACCGAATGCTTGGTGAGCGCGAAATCGTTAATGGGAAGGTATGTTTAATCAGTATTCTTTTTCCCTATCCTCAAATTTTACTATCTATTGATGTTTACTGCATATTTGATTATTTGCAGGCAGGTAAATATGTGTGGTTAACTTACAAAGAAGTACATGATTTAGTTTTACAAGTTGGAGTCTCCATTCGCAGTTGTGGTGTAGGTCAGGTAAGATTAGACGTTTTATTAAACCACCTCATCTAAAAGTTCTGATCCTATTTTACGGAAATGTGGTTCTCTTGCATTTAACTTTTGTTTTGGATGTTTTACAATTTACACCGAATGATCCATGTGCTCGTGTAGGGAGGTAGATGTGGAATCTACGGTGCCAATTGCTCGAACTGGGTGATAAGTATGCAGGTAATTGAAGATCAAAAGTCTTCAATTTCAATTGAGCTATAGCAATGTAAAAATACTCTCTTAGTTCAGTACAAATTGCACTCAATTATGAGAATTAAGGTGGAAAAGACACTACAGCAAACTCTTGCAAAGCAATTTATTTACAGTTCATCGGCGTTCAGTTAAATGTTCAACAAAGTATAGAAGTCGTTCACAGAAAGAGAGAACGCAAGCATTTGAGGGATTTTTATCACATAGTTTCCAAATTTTACAACTTCTTAAGTGGTTTTGAGTTGTTCCATTCTTACATTTCGTTTCATTTCTCTGTTAACTTGCGATTGATTCTTCTGGGAAAAATGTGATTCTTTGGTTCTTAGTTTGTTACATATTCCTCAGAAAATTGTTTTATTTTGCAGGCCTGCAATGCTCATGGTCTTTATTGCGTGCCGCTATATGATACTTTAGGTAAGTCCTCTTTCTCCATTGCTTGCCCCTTCCGACTATGCATCAAGAGATAAAAGTAGAAAAATGGGGAAACTTTCCATAACCTTTGGTTGTGGTTTTAGGTGCTGGTGCAGTCGAATATATCATCTGTCATGCTGAGCTTTTGTTAGTATTTGTAGAGGAAAACAAGATTTCCGAGGTAATGAACTTTTAAAGGATCACAGCATTTGGAATTCCAACATACCCATGCCCCATTTTTTTCCTTTTCAGCTAACTTTATCACATTTATTGCTACAGGTGTTGAAAACATTTCCTAACACCCAAAAATACTTGACAAGTAAGAGCATATTTCGATGTATTTATGTAAATTGATAAGAAGATCCAATTAAGTTACTCAGGTTATCGTCTGTTATATATACAGCTCTTGTAAGCTTTGGAAAAGTTACTTTGGAGCAGGAGGACATGGCAGGAAATTTTGGCGTGAAATTATATTCTTGGAATGACTTTTTGCTTCTGGTAAGCTACTTATAAATACTTGTATTACCTTCTGGTAAGCTACTCAATTTTAGTCTCCTCCCATTAGGATTAGGATTAGAATTCGGCTTACTTCTCATGCAGTGATCAATCTACTGGGATTTATTGATGAAATCCAACTCCTATATATTTTCCTATAGGGATTGAACAAGAAATTTGATATTCCAATTAAGAAGAAGACAGATATCTGCACAATAATGTACACAAGTGGAACGGCAGGTGATCCAAAAGGAGTAATGATTACCAATGAGAGTATCCTTTCTATCATTTCTGGAGTGAATCACCATCTGGAAAGCATGAATGAAGAGGTGAAACTAGACATTTTTCTCTTACATAATCTTGCATCTACAGCTAATTTATTTATGAAAATTCAGGTTTCTTTACAAAAGGTGACGATTAGTTTGAAACAAGTATCGTATTATCATTGACAGTTTAGTGAGACGGATGTATATTTGTCCTATCTCCCTTTAGCACACATATTTGATCGAGTCATTGAGGAACTATTTATCTCAAAAGGTGCTTCAATTGGATTTTGGCATAAGGTAAGCAAGTGAATAATAATTGATTGATGTTGCTTAATAATATTAACGAACAATCCAACATGATGATGATGATTCTTCAGGACATTAAACAGTTGATTGATGACATCAAAGAGTTAAAGCCAACTATTATGTGTGCAGTACCTCGTGTGTTAGACAGGATATATTCAGGTTCTATATTATTTCTTATGTGTTGGCGTGCTTTTTAGAGGTTTCTTGAAAATCCCACCCTGGACACAAATTCCGCACATAAAAACAGGAGCGAAACACAAGAAAGACAATGCTACATGTACAGAGATGGGTTTATAGTCTACTACATGGCAACATTTCGTTGGATTCTGAACAAAAAACAAAGTTAAAATAGTCAATCAAGTGCTACTATCTCAGTATTTGACAAAAACAAAGTTAAAACAATCAATCAAGTGCTACTATCTCAGTACCTGTAAAATTGTTGATGCAATTTATCTGTACATGTATCATTTTTGGCTACATTTCATTGAATTTTGGACCAAAAAAAAAAAAGTTAAAATAGCCAATGTGCTGCCATCTCAACACTTGTAAAATTGTCTTATCTATTCAAGTACCATTTCTGAGGAAAAAAAAAAAAAAGGATGGTAAAAGAAGTCTAGGAGCTTTGCAAATTTAAATCTGGAACAGTTTCATTGGGTTGGAAGTTGAAAATCTTCAGGTTTGGTAGAAAAGATTTCCTCAAGTGGAGCCATCAAACATGCATTGTTCAACCTTGCTTATTCCTAGTAAGTGATTCACTCTTCCTTGTATTTAGAATAATCTTATTATCGAAAATAGTTTAGGACGACGATAATGAATGCATTTACTTCGGAGTTTTATTCTCATTTTTCAATCTTTTCGAAAAAAATTGCAGCAAACTGCATAACATGAGTAAAGGCTATAAGCATGTAGAAGCAGCTCCAGTATTCGACAAAATTGTTTTCAGCAAGGTAAGAAGAGATGGTTCCATCTGTTCATTTCTTTATTTCTCAAAGTCTCTACTGACTGAACTTATAAAGGTGAAAGAAGGTCTAGGAGGGAAAATACGTCTTATCCTTTCTGGTGCAGCACCTCTTTCTTCCAACGTAGAAACATTTTTACGAGTTGTGACATGCGCTCATGTTCTCCAAGGATATGGTACTTTAACTCATCCAATTTCTGTTACTTGTGTTTCACACGTAACATGGTCCATCCCCATTTGATGAAACCTCAAGATTCACAATGTTTCTTCTATTAAGTAATTTGTTAATATAAAGCATTGTGGACTTGTTAATTATATAAAGAAAATTTCTTTCTGAGGTGTTTTGATGTATTGTAGGTTTAACAGAAACCTGTGCTGGATCATTCGTTGCACGACCAGATGAAATGTCTATGATCGGTACAGTAGGCCCTCCATTGCCAATTGTGGACGTCTGCCTGGAATCTGTTCCTGAAATGGGGTACGATGCCCTTTCATCTACTCCTCGTGGAGAGATATGTATAAGGGGAAAGTGCTTGTTCTCAGGATACTACAAGCGTGAAGATCTCACCAAAGAGGTTCTCTTTGATGGATGGTTTCATACAGGTATGTGTGTATTAAGTAATGTGGTTTTATTTTAAACAGTCAACATTTTTTTTAGTGGAGCAATATAAACCCCTATAAGTTAATTTATGTTTTCATCTTTATTCGAGGTGGAATTTTATTCTTTAATATGTTCCCGCAAAATGGTGGCTCGTTTGAGTAAATCAATCTTGAAATCCGCGTACTCATTTTTTGAGTCTTAATCAAATTGTTTGTTGGAATTTAGCCCCTGTTTGGCCCCCATTACGTGGAAAAATTAATGGGTGGAATAGTATTTTTTTGAAAAATGAGTGGTTGAAAATGAAAAAAAAAAAAATCGATTTACGTGTAATATTATTTTATGGAAGATTGTGTTATTGAAAATAGTAGAAAGAAAAATGAAATGTAATGTAATGAAAATTAATGGGGCTCAAACATGTGCTTAATGGACTCTGATACCATATTAAGAATTGAAGTTTCATCTTAAAATGTAACATTTTTAAGAAGAGTAGCACATACCCCTATAAGTTGGTCTATGTTTTCATTCTTATTTGACGTGGAATTTTATCTCTTAACAGTTAGTGCGTCTCATTTGCATTCATCGTTTTCTACGTTGCTCACACTAGACTTGCAACAGGGGATATTGGTGAATGGCAGGCCGATGGGAGCTTGAAGATAATTGATCGCAAGAAAAACATTTTCAAGCTTTCTCAAGGAGAATATATATCGGTTGAGAATCTGGAAAGCATTTACTCCCTTGCATATAATATCGACGCGGTGTGTGTGTTTCTTTTCTACTTTGGAACAACTCAAATTTATTGGGAAAAGAGCTTGGATTCTCGCCTTTGTAGTTTGATTACTGCTTGTGTTGTCTCAGATATGGATCTACGGCAATAGCTATGAGTCATTTCTTGTTGCTGTTGTCAACCCAAGTATGGAAGCTCTTCAACACTGGGCAGAAGCAAATGGAATCGCTGGAGATTTCAATAGCTTATGTGAAAATCCAAAAGCGAAAGCATATGTTCTTGGAGAACTGAACAAGATCGGAAAAGAAAAAAAGGTTTTGCTTCTGGTTTCAAATAACCCATACACTCTGATATGGTTGTTAAGCAAACATGATCAATGAGCGATCAAGGTCGAACAGAAAACAACATCTATGATTTTTCAAATAAATTTGAATGGTGATTAAGTATTATTTGTTTTGTCGACAGTTAAAGGGATTTGAGTTTATCAAAGATGTCCACCTTGACCCGACACCATTTGATATGGAGCGCGATCTTCTGACACCAACGTACAAGAAGAAGAGAGCCCAATTTTTCAAATATTACAAGGTTTGTGTTACACTACCCTATCTAAAAGATTGAGCTGTTATATAGGAAATGCATTTATTTAAATTTGGTCTTCAAAACACTCGTCCATGAACATCACACTTTTTTCTCTTTTTACTAAATATCTAACACGTGCACAATTTTCATAAATAAATAATAACAAGACTTGTAAATCCAAACTCTTTTGTCTCACTTGGTACTAGAAATATTTGCACACTTGAATTGAATACATGGTATAAATGTCCAAAAATATCCATAGCTGACACTTGATTAATGTTGAAATGCAGAATGTCATTGAAGAAATTTACA